TTTTATCTCAGAAAGAGAAAGCTGGGGGCTATGCTGATAGAAAGGCCATTGCCAAATTTTAGGTATTTAGAGACAGATGCAGTGCAGACATTTTACATTATTGAAGGGCATAGCTCTCTCCAGCAAAAGAAATGATAAGAGTCCTATTATTTTAAAAACTTAGAATTTTGAACAGCTTCTAATACACAAATGCAGAATTCTCTGCAATTAGGAGGAGGAACCCTGATATCTCCAGTGAGTGACTGACAAAAACAAGATGAGCAGATATAAATAATCTGGAAGCCTGGCCATACCTGGGAAAGAAGTAAAATATCCATACCAGATGAATAATATAGAAAGTAGTTATAGTTCATCAGACTCCGGTTGCCTGAATATGAATTATATACACAGTTCATTATTAGAGAAGGGTATTACACTCTAACACCCTACTTGGTCCAGAACAGAACAAAACTTACATAGCGTGGTTCAAATGCTGTTTATTGATTGTGTTAATTTTCTAATGCTGCATAACAAAGTACCACATACTACCTACCTAAAATAACACCTACTTATTAGCTTACAGTCTGTAAGTCAGAAGTCCAGACATGGCATAACTAGGTTCTCTGCTTAGGGTCTCACAATGCTGAAATCAAGATATTAGCTGGGCTGCATGCCCTCTGGAGTCTCCATGAAACAATCTGCTTCAAGCTCATTTTTGTTCCTGGCTAAATTCAGTTCCTTGTGGCTGTAGGACTGAAGTCCTTGCTTTCTTGGTAACTATCAGTTGGAGGCTGCTCTCACCTGACTTGTATTGGGGAGCAAGAATTCCTGTCCCCTCAAAGGTCCTTCTATCTGGGCTATGAATCACATCAACATGAGACAGATTAGCAGGAGAAGATCAAATTCAATAAGTGTACGTAAGGGGAATCCACACAGACATGGAAATTCCAAAGACAGTCAGGCAAAATGAGGTATATATGTCATTCTGAACTAAGGAGAAGGGGTTAAGTGTCTGGGATTTCAGAAGAAAGGTATACATTTCACAGGGTGATAAGAAGAGCGAGGTTTGGGAATTAAGATATTTGCCCTACCATACAGATGGGTCACACAGATAAATTTATCTCTGTTAATAACATTTATTCTGGGAGAGACCCCCAATTTAGATTCTTCTATATAGTTAAGGGAGGGGTAAAAATTTCTCTTGGGCACGTAGGGTCTCAAGTGCCTTCAGGTCAAAATAATCCACATGTCAAAGTGGCACTTTGGGGGTGGGGCTGGGAGGAGCTGTCCTGAACCCCTTCACTTGCCCCCCTCCATCTTCAAAGTTAGCAGTGGCATGTTGAATCCTCATGTTTTGAATTTCTCTTGACTACCCCGTCTCTGACTTCTAGACCCAGACTTAGAGAACTCCTGTGATTAAGTCACACCATACCGATAATCTCCCTATCTTAAGGTCAACAGATTTGTGACCTTAATTACATCTGAAAATTACCTTCACTGCAACACCTAGATTAGTGTTTGGGAGAAGGCATGTGTATACCAGGGCAGGACATTGGTGTGGTGCATGTGTGGAGGGGGTCAACTTTAGAATTTTTCCAACTACGTTGGTTTTTAATTTTTGAATCTACCTTAGATTCCAGACCGGCAATTTTCAACTGGGGTAGGTAGTGATTTTGCTCTCCTCTCATAGGGAACATTTGGTAACATCTGGAGAACGGCTAATCCACCTATAATGGATAAGAGAGTCCCCAAAATAAATATCCAGCCCAAGATGTCAGTAGCGTCAGGGTTGAGAAGCCCCACCTTAAAGAAAGTGTGAAGGAACATCCTCCTCCTCCCTCTCCCACTCCCCCTCCCCTACTCCTTTACAGAATTATCGTCATCACCCTCGGCCACGTAAATGTAAAAGTACTGCAGATGTGACACAGATGGAAGATAAAAAAAGACAGAAGGAAAACGATCTGGAGTATTATCTACATCTTACATACAGAGGAAACTTAAATTCTAGAATCCATAGGTTAATGGATGGTATACGGTGGGTATATTATTCAAAGTTACAAAGATAAAGAAAAAGAATAGTAATAAAACTCAAGATGGGGGGGGGAGAAGGTAAGGGAAGTTGGGAGTAGTAAGGAGACAGTAGACATTGCCTAAAATTGAGAAACAAATAAAAAATACTTTCAGCATTTCATTTAAAATGATGGAAGTAACCACTGATGGGTTACCCCCAAATATGGCATGTTGACATATTGAATATTTTAAGCGGAAGGACTTCAAGAAAACGGGACAAGCAAGAAGGTCACTCTGACCTTCTCCCCATCTTTCTCCTTGAAACGGGTCATAAAACCCTCAGATACGAGATGAAATTTATTAAATAAATGTATATGTTTTTCTTCTGTTAATGCCTTTGTCAGCTTAATTTTCAGACCCATTTAGGGACTCTAAGAGGATCAAGGAAAACTTTTCTTCCCTTGTAACACCAGAACTAAAACTTTTAAAGAGATTTAAAAAGCTTGTATCCAAGAAGTCGGTCTGTGAATAGGGAGGATACGGTGAGGGAAGGTTTTTAAATGATAAATTCTACTGTACTTCTGATTTTTTTTTACTACTCACTTGTTACTTTATAAAAACATAACCTTAAAAAAACCGAGGGGGTTAACCCAGATGATCTATTTGTAGAGGAAAAGTAACAGTATTGATGACACAATAATGTTTTAGTAAGTGTGATAGCCTATAAAAATAGAATTTCTTTAAGAAGCTGCTTGCCCAGGCACAAGGTCCTCATACAAAGTTTCACTTACATTGCAGTGAAATCTCATTTTAAAAATATAGCATAGAAACCTACTGTCATTATGGCTGCCCCCAAATTGTGTAGAATTATGGATCTGCCCTGGAAAAGGAGACACAATTTAAAATAATTCAAGTTCCAGAGAGCCCCCCTGAGTCCTTTCCACCTTGTAAGGACACAGGGAGAAGTCAGCAGTCTGCAACCCCACAAGAGGCCTTTCCACCAGACACCCAATCTGCCGATGCCTCAGAAACATGAGAAAAAAATGCTTGTTGTTTACTAGCTCCCCAGCCTCTGGCATGTTCTTCTAGCAGCCTGAACAGGGTAAGACATTTAGGAACCATTTTCCTTAGGTTCGCCTGAATTATCGTATTAAAAAGCATGATGGGTTTAAGTGGAAGAATGACCTATTTTTTGACAAAATCTGTCTTTCCATCAAAAAGAAAAACGTGGTGAGGGAGATTTTGCAAAACAAAGGTTACAGTGCCTAGGAGTGTGAAATTGCGCAAAGTCAGGTTGGGGCCTGTTTTACTCTGCGAAGGTGCTTGTTGTCACTCTCAGCACCCTCGATGCCAGTAGCTGCAGGTTTCAGTACTAGACTTCCCGGTAGAACCGTCCGCCTGCTCCCCCTAGCCCTTTGTGAAGCACCAGGTGCACAGATTTTGATCTGAATTCCTCTCCCTCTGCCCTACCTCCACCTGCACACCTTTTAGGGCCCACTGCTGGGGCTGCTGGACTGGGGAGGGTCTGGGGATCTGGATACAAAGCTTGTCTCTGCCACTTCCGGTGGGAGCATGGGCAAGTCATTTTACCTCTATGAGCTTCAGATTTCCTCATCCATAAAGTAGAAATATCAGTACAGAGCTCGCAGGATTGTTGGTGAGAATAAACAAATCACATGCTAATTAGTGTCGATGAGGGGAATTGGACAAAGGCCATTTGATGACATTTTAACCTACATGGGGCTCAGCACTTCCATGCGACCCATGACCACCTCCAAGTCAGCCTGGCAACACCGCTGCTTGGAACTGGTCATCAGGGAGGCACAGGACACCTGACACCTGGCAAGATAGACACCATGTTCCTGCCATCTGACAGCCGTTTGTGAAAACTACATCTTACTCTGCATCTGGAAGCTTCTGTGGACACACAAGGAGGCCCAAAGACAAGCCATGCAACAGGATCCACCAACAAGGTGTGGGAAAGATGGACCAGGAGTTAAGAGATGTAGGCTCCTTGTTAGGAGAGTGTAAGATAATCCCACATGGCACCCAACTCTGGATCCTTCCCTAGTGCACTAAGAACTCACTGTGGGAGCCAGATGGCTCTCTGAGCAAAGCAGACTTTTTTTTTTTAGCATCAGAGTTTATCAATCCAACAACAGTAGTTACTCAAACCTAGATGTGATATTAAAATGATATACAGCTAAAACTTTTCTATGTAGAAAATGAACTCCAATGTTTACAAACTCTAGATAATGCAATAAGAAATACACAAATTCACATAGAAAGCATTCTTATTGAAACTGTTAAACCTGAACGTGGTCATGAGGAAACAGGCAAACCCAGAATGTGGAACAGATTCTGCCCTAGACTCTCTTTTAAAAAGTTTGAGCCATGGAAAGAAAGCAAAAAGAAAAAAAGCAGGGGGGACTTTCTTAGAGTAAAAGTTATTAAAGAAATATAAGAATTAATTGCAATATGTGAACCTTGATTGATTAAAAAACTATACAAAAATTATACTCTGGAAATAGTTGGGGGAAAGTTAAATTAAAATTAAATTTAATTTAAAAATTAAATATATATATATATTCCTAATATATATACCTAATATATTAGGTAAATATATTCAGGTATAAAGCTGATAGTGTGATTATATACAAAAGGTCTTTATTCTTGGGGATGTCAAGTTGTAACACTAAAAAAAAGTTAGAAGTATCACGACATTTGCAACTTATTGTCAAACGGTTTAGCAAAAAAAATATGTATTTATATGTAAAATGTTTTATACACACATGCACACAAAGAGAGAAAAGAGAGAGAAAACAAATGTGGCAAAATATTAACAATTATTAATCTACGTGAAAGGTATACGAGTGTTCATTGTGCCAATCTTTCAACTTCTCTGTAGGTTTGCAAACCTTCATAAAAAAAGTTGGGAGAAATTAGATCTGTATGCTGCTCTTAAAATAGGATATGAAGAGAAGAACTATCTTTTCATTTCATTTTCAGATGAGTATATTATTGGCTACATTTGTATCCTGTATAATTTTTCCTTTAAGACATGTAGTTTGTTTTGCCCTGTTGACTCCCAATAAGGAACATTCACGAGATAAATTTATAAGCAACCGTGGCCAAGTCCAGTTGAGGAACTGTCTGTGTAGGTTCGTTTGCAAACACTTTATAAGAACTTTTATGGCTGTGGATTTCTGGTTTCCCCTGATGTGCCCCTTTACTTTTCCTCTGACCGGCATGTTTCTTCTTGTGGCAGGAGTTGCCCTTAGCGTTTTTCTTGGCTGCTTGTTCTTTCATCCACTGCTTAATAACATGACTGTGCGGGCTGACACAGATTCTTCTGCGCCTGACGTGAAGGCTGCCAAGGAGGGAAGATAAACAAAGTCACTGATGGAAAGTCGAAGTAAAAACTTAGTGACTCAGGGGCAGTTCCCACTTTGAGACACGAGACTGGATCCTAAAGCCGTGGAGCCCGAGGCTGAATCCTCACTACCCTGTGGCCCGTGGCTCCTCAGTGGCAGCGTTAAAAGGAGGAGGAAGAGGGGCGCCTGGGTGGCTCAGTCGGTTTAGCATCTGCCTTCGGCTCAGGTCATGGTCCCAGGGTCCTGGGATCGAGTCCTGCATCGGGCTCCTTGCTTCTCCCTCTCGCTCTGCCTACTTGTGCTCTCTCTTTTTCTGTCAAATAAATAAATAAAATGGAAAAAAAAAAAAAAAGGAGGAGGAGGGCAGCAATGAGGGGAACGAGAGAAACCAAGGGCAAACAATGGTCTTCCTGACCCAGAGCTTCACCCAACAAAATCAACTCACACCTCACAGCCCACCTCAAACATCTCCGTGAAGTTTTTCTAGATTCTCTCGGCTAAATGCCCTGCTTTCCCTTTGGGTCTCTCAGTATTACCTCTCTTCTAGGACTTAGCTTATGCTGTTTTTGTATGACTTTTTGTTTCAAACCTTACCCTTGTCCTGGGGTGTGATGTTCTCCTCTCTTTGAAGGAGGAATAGTCTGGAATTGTCTTGAAAAAAGGCCTTGTTCACAGTAGGAATTCAGTAGTTATAGATACGAAGTGAAAATTGTTCAAAATAAAAACAGTCTGGTTTTGTTTTTAATGAAAGAATCAACTAAAATGTTCTCAGTGTTTGATAAGATTTTAATATACTATAGATTCATACCCCTTCTCAAGTGTTTTCATGTTTTAAATTTTCACCTTGGGGTGAAGGAACCATAAAGCAGCATTCACAATTTCTAGTAACTGGAAGAATTTCTTGTTACAAAAGATATTGTGACTTTTAATTTGCCCCCAGGTGCCATCCAGCTTTTATTAAATGTCACAGATCCTGCTGGCTCTACATAGACAATATTCTGTGTCTGAATAAAATGAGCCCTTGCCCCTGTTACTGGCGGGGGGGACCCCGAAGGATAGAGGGTAGGTTGTCACTTCTCCAGATGACCCAAGAGGAATCATCTGCTAATATGGGGACTCTTGAAATGAGGGGAAAAGCTGGGAAAGGTCTCAATGAGCTTAAGCAAAATAAAGCCAGCATATGGGAATATTAATTTGAAAGAAGTGAGGCTTCTTGATAGGAGGACAATACATTCACTAAGTGTCTTCCACTGAGAGGTCCTCCAAAGGAAATCTCCCTCTCCTGCGGCCAGTTGCGTTGCCTTTGGCTGCTAGAGAAGAGAACCTGGAGGTAGTGCTCAGTGGGGGAAGAAAAAAAAAGAGTTGAAGCTCCTATCCTTCCCAAAGGACTAAAACGCTTTCCTTTCCCTGTGGTGCCAGCACGAATCTGAGCAGACATCCAGCGGAGAAAGACTCCACTGACATCCAGTTAAGCCCACAGGGTTCACAGGAGGGAACTAGCGCTCGAACTCCCTCAGTCTGTGAGGAATGAGGGGCACTGGCACCGGAGCTGAAGGTGAGCCCTGGATGGGGGCAGTGCGGACAGAGGGCCAGGGGTGTGGAGAGCCATGGGAAGATGGGAAACAGCTACCATGCAGGACCCTTTGCAAAGGCCTGCCCCGTGGGGCCTCAAGCTCTCAAGGTAATACAAGGGGGGAAAAGCAGCTACCAGAACACAGCTCCCAAATCCAAGATGCTAGGATGTTTTCAAATCTTAAAGTTTAAAGCCTGCTTAAACCTGCACTTGTACCTCCGGTGTACTCATCATCAGGATAAAAAGAGATGAGGTAATGTTGGACGAGGAGGTGGCCTATCCCACACTCCCTCCTCTACCCCGACTCCACAGTATTCTGCTGGGCGCTGACCCAGCCTGTTGTGTATTTCTTGGTGGAGAGTTTGGGCTCTGAGAAAACCATAAGGCTGATCCCCTGATGCTTTTGCCCAAAAGAGAGTAGCTAGAGATGGTCCCAGGGACCTAGAGGGGTGGCCCTACCACAGAGATCAAACCTGTAATTGTCCCTTGAACCTGATTTCTTTACCCCTTCCCCTAAGCAGAGCAGCCCCTCAACAATCACTTTTCAAAAAATGCTCAGATAACTTTATTTAATAACTCCAAGTTTTCTTCCCAACAGATATCTGTGTGCTTCAAAAACCTCAGCCCTCTGCCCAAGATAAACAAATCTGCACTGTGTTTATGTTAAGAAATAACCAGAAGCTCTTTAATGAAGTCGCTGTAAAAGGGTTTAAACAAGCAAACTCCCCTCTCAGAGAACAAAAATTTCAATGATCATCTATAGGGTGTAAACAAAGGACCTATTCTAGGCAGAAAAGGAAAAGGAAAGAAATCCAGTGAGTTCACTATAAGCTCATTTATATCTGTTAGTTGTGATTAATAATACGTGCTTTTGGGGAGTTATATTTCCAACACTTGCAATGTTTTCTGTATCTAAAAATCTGTACTTGAATAAATTATTTTTAGATCTAAGTGATTGACTTCATGGTTTCACTTTAATTAAAATTAAGTGCTTTTTAAAATGAAAAGTCATGTTTTTTTTTATATTTTCCCTTATCAAAATGAGAACTTATTTCTTTTCCTATACCTTTTTTTCTGAAAATCCTGTTACCAATGGCATCCCCCGCTAATTCCCAGCATCTGTTCTTACTCTTACATACAGAGAGAAACTTCCTCTCCTTCTTTCCCCATGCCTTCCTGGGAGTCCCATGGGATCCCTTACAAGTTCGAAGGCTTCTATGGTCTGAGGTGTCGTGTGCCGGAAGTGACAGTTGAGCATTTGGTGTTTCTGAGAGTAGCCAGGCAGATAGGTAGGTAGACCTGACACAAACATCTAGATGTTTCCAATTCTCCAGAGTACTATCTATCCATGAACTGCCTACGGATTTTTACTCTCCAACTATTACCAACACTAATTTATTAAGATCAAATAAAAGACTGTTAGAATCTCGGCCATGTGCTAAGAGAGTTTCTCAAAGAAATTGGGAACTTGAAGCAACCCTCAGAAAGTACCTCATTAGTAAGTGCTCCCAGGATTGCTATAGGAACCACTGGTTCCCAGTGTAAACCACCTAAGCCAATGGATCCAGTGTGGTAATAGGAACTGAGGAGAAGCAGAGAGTCCTCAATCCTTACCCTCCTGCCATATAGACACTCATGCTCATTAAAAGTTTGAGTCAGAATTATCTTTCTCTGCACATCTAACCCCAAGTGTAATTTTTTTTTTTTAAGAAAGAGAGCGTGAGTGGGGATTGGGGGAGCAGAGAGAGAATCTCTAAGCTCCATGTCGATGTGGGGCTTGATCTCATGACCCTGAAATCATAACCTGAGCCAAAATCCAGAGTTAGACATTTAACTGACTGAGCCACCCATGTGCTCCCCTCCCAATTGTGATTTTTAAACTGTATCATATCTACGATCTTTTTGTGGATCTTATAAAATCTGTGAACCTTCTCCCCAGAAAACAATGCTCATACATTCAGACCCACTAATTTCAGGGAGTTCACAGCCCCCTGACCTGAAGGAAATCTATCAGTGGACATCTTACAAACTCTTCCTCTGAACTTCTAAGAATCTTGTCTTGGAGCAGTGTTTCTCAAAGTTGGGTAATAGATGGATCCCTCTGAAAGGGGGAAAAAATCGATCTTAAATCTCAGAGAATGGTCTGCAGGACTCAGCTGAATAGAATCACGGGAGACTCTAGGAAGGCAGAGTCCATTTGGTTGCTGCAGCATTCCCAGCACAAGCTGAGGATAGAATGGTGCTTGGTACAGAAACGTTAATCAATAACTACTTGTTGAATTCATTGAATAAATAAAGAGGCTTCTCAGTGACTCAGGAACTCAGGCATAAGCAATAAGCTTATTTGTAGCCCCAAGAAGGGGATGAAATGGTTCACTAGCATCCCCTGTAGCCGTAAGTGGTGTTAAAACCAGCATACCAGAGAGATGCCTAATACACTGTCCTTATGATTTGAAGGTGCCAGATAAAATGAAGTTTGGGGAGAGCATTTTATGATGGGTCCCACCATCACTTTTGAGAGATCTTTGAAGTATATGGTGTTCTGAACAACAAGACCTGGTTCATAGGCCATCTCTGCAATTCTCTAGCTGTATGTCACCAGGTTAACTATATACTCCTCAGGCACAGCTTTATCTTGTGTGACATGGAGATAATTTATGCTTTTCTCACAGTATTGTTGTCAGAATCCAGATTTGCTACATTCCAATGCATTTCAGACTTTAAAGTTTCTATGGGGATATGAAGAACACAGAAATCTAAAGTTTTTATTTTTTTTAAGATTTTATTTATTTATTTGAGAGAAAGCATGAGCTGGGGAAGGGGCAGAGGGAGAAGCAGACTCCCCATTGAGCGGGGAGCCTGACGCGGGGCTCGATCCCAGGACCCCGGGATTATGACCTGAGCTGAAGGCAGACGCTCAACGACTGAGCCACCCAGCCATTCCAGAAATCTAAAGTGTTTAATAACTGAGCCAGAGGTAAGCTTGAAAAGGGTTCACCATGAGCCAACAGCCCAGAATCAAGAGCAAATATGGGCATTTGTGCTTGATTGTATGTGACAGGTACAGACATCTCTCTATTTCTCTTTGAACCTTGTATACACTCTTGATGCATTCAGAGTAAAAAATGACAGCAACCCATAAACTTGCCTAGAAAAAGCTACAGGTAAAGCCAGAAAATAGAACAGAGACACCTTCTGTTTTCATTTTTGTTTTGTTTTCTCACTCAGAAGGTCCCTAGTGTTGCTTGGAAAACTCATACACACTGTCCAGTGGCTGAAGGTGTTTATCCTGAATCCCACACCGCAGTGGGGGCAGCAGAGGCCAGCGTGGGGCTCTGGACATGCCCGTCCTGAGACTGTGTGCTCACCCCGGGGAGCCTGGGGTCGGAACAAAGGTGGAATATTTACTCTCCCCTCCCTTGTTTGAATGATTCTTTGTATGCTGCATAGCAGGCAAAGCCTGCCCAACCTACTGCGCACGGGCTGAGAAAGGATCCCTGGACAGGTTTAGACCCTCCCTGTGGAAGAGTGCTCACATGACAGCAGCCAAGTCACAGTCCCCGTCAGCTCTCTGGATGCGGCACAGATTCACTCTCTCCAGAAGCCTTCGGGAGACATGATGAGAAACCTCAGTGCAACAGCTGGAGGCAATGGGAAGTATGGCTGAAAGAAGAAAGAAAGAAAATGTTAGTCTTACAGGATGCCTGGGTGGCTCGGTTAAGCGACTGCCTTTGGCTCAGGTCATGATCCCGGAGTCCCGGAATCGAGTCCCACGTCGGGCTCCCTGCTCAGCAGGGAGTCTGCTTCTCCCTCTGACCCTACCCCCTCTTGGGCTCTCTCTCACTCTCTCTCTCTCTCTCTCTCAAATAAGTAAATAAAATCTTAAAAAAAACCCAATAATCCAATTAAAAAATGGGCAGAAGACATGAACAGACATTTCTCCAAAGAAGACACACAGATGGCCAATAGACACATGAAGAGATGCTCAACAGCACTGATCATCAGGGAAATGCAAATCAAAACCACAATGAGATATCACCTCACACCTATCAGAATGGCTAAAATCAACACCACAAGAAACAACAAGTGTCGCTGAGGATGTGGAGAAAAAGGAATCCTCGTGCACTGTTGGTGGGGATGCAAACTGGTGCAAGCCACTCTGGAAAACAGTATGGAGGTTCCTCAAAAAGTAAAAAATAGAACTACCTTATAATCCAGTAATCACACTACTGGGTATTTACCCCAAAAATACAAAAACACTAATTCAAAGGGATATATGTAACACTGTGTTTATAGCAGCATTATTTACAATATGCAAATTATGGAAGCAGCCCAAGTATCCATCAATAGATGAATGGATAAAGAAGATGGAGAGAGACAGAGAAAGAGTGTGTGTGTGTGTGTGTGTGTGTTGGAACATTATTCAGCCAACAAAAAGAATGAAATATTGCCATTTGCAACAACATTGGATAGAGCCAGGGAGTATAACGTTAAGTGAAATAAGTCGGTCAGAGAAAGAGAAATACCACGTGATTTTACTCATATGTGGAATTTAAGAAACAAAACAAATAAGCAAAGGTAAAAAAAAGGAAGGAAGGAAGGAAGGAAAGAAAAGAAGGAAGGAAGAAAGAGAGAGGCAAGCCAAGAAACAGACTCTTGACTATAGAGAACAAACTGATGGTTACCAGAGGGGAGGTGGGTGGGGGGCCGGGTAAAACAGGTGATGGGGATGAAGGAGGGCACTTGCGATGAGCACCGGGTGATGCATGGAAGTGTTGAATCACTATATTGTACACCCGAAACTAATATAACATTGTCTGTTAACTGTACTGGCATTTAAAAACAAAACAACAAACAAATAATGGCCTGGCTCTCTTTTTACTTTATTTTATTTAAATTCAATTAAATAACATATAGTGTATTATTAGTTTCAGAGGTAGAGTTCAGTGATTCATCAGTTGCATATAACACCCAGTGCTCATGACATCACGTCTGGCTCTCTTCTTAGATTCCAGAGAAACAGAATGCCAATCCACCCAAGCAAGGGTCAGAAACTTACTAAGGGCTTTGTGAATGCAGACCTGGGACAGGACACGTCTCTCCCTTCCAGAACTTACACTGTATTTGGGGAAGATGAAACATTAAGTACAGGCAAAGACACAAAACCAGTGAAGAGATGAAAGAAGTGAGATGGACAGAGTGTCCCACAGAGTTTAGAAGAGAAGGACCACATGGGCCCCTGGAGCAGGTTTGCGTTTCCTACCAGGGAAGGACTCGGATGAATCTTCAAAGATTTGGACGGGTGGAGAAAAAGGAACACAACTTGTCAATACTAAAGGAAGTGCATGGTCAAGAATCCTGAGACAGGGTCTCTTGCTGCAGCGACGCGAGTGGGAGCACCAGGCGCCTGGCTCGGAGCGGAACTCCACGGATGGCAGACAAGCCGGACATGGGGGAAATCGCCAGCTTCGATAAGGCCAAGCTGAAGAAAACGGAGACGCAGGAGAAGAACACCCTGCCGACCAAAGAGACCATTGAGCAGGAGAAGCGGAGTGAAATTTCCTAAGAATCTAGAGGATTCCCCACCCCCGTCATCTTCGAGACACTCCAGTCGTGATGTGGAGGAAGAAGAGCCACCTGCAAGATGGACACGAGCGACAAGCTGCACTGTGAACCCGGGCACTCCGGGCCGACGCCACCGGCCTGCGGGTCTCTGAGGGGACCCCCCCCAATCGGACTGCCAAATTCTCCGGTTTGCCCTGGGATATTATAGCAAATTATTTGTATGTTTAATGAAAATAAAACACACCTCGTGGCATGGCAAAAAAAAAAAAAAAAAAAAAAAAAGAATCCTGAGACAGGAAAGACCAAGATGTATTGAGGGTCTGGAGAGAAATCAACCACTTCATCTGAACTGGGTAGTTAGGAAGGTGAGCGATGGGAGATTTGGTTCAAAAGATAGACTGAGATCACACTATTGAGGCCCTGAATGTGAGTCTAAGGAGGGTTAGTTTTTATGAAATGGGGACCATTAGAGATTTGGGAAAGGAGAAGGATTTTAGGAAAATCCATCTTGCAATGATAAGCAAGATGCATTAAGGTGGAGAGTGACTGGAGAAGGAGGAGCTTATGTTCCCCTGATGTAAGGAGGGCAGCACAAACACGGAAGGAAATCCAATCCCCTGCTGAAATGTGTATCTGCAGATCCCTACGGGCCTTATGCACACAGTATTCTACGCTTCCCATTCCACCAAGTGGGTAGTGAATTTTTAAAGTATTTTTCGGAAATTACAGCCAATAGTGGGTGAAGATGTCAGCCTCATAACAGAAGGTAGCCACTGAATTAGGTGCTAAAAGAAATGTTTAGATCCCTCTGCAGTGTCTGCTGTAAGCAACAGAGGTATCTGCCATTAGGATACGGGAAGATCTCTATATCCATGCCTTGTCCACATGGAAACATCAGGTCACTCACAACAATGGAGTAGAGAAGGAAGCTGATTATGAAATTAAGAATGTTTATGTGAGGGGCGCCTGGGTGGCTCCATTGTTAAGCGTCTGCCTTTGGCTCAGGTCATGGTCCCAGGGTCCTGGGATCGAGCCCCGCATCAGGCTCTCTGCTCAGAGGAAAGCCTGCTTCTCCCTCTCCCACTCCCCCTGCTTGTGTTCCCTCTCTCGCTGTGTCTCTCTCTGTCAAATAAATAAAATCTTAAAAAGAAAAAAGAATGTTTATGTGACCCCAAAAAATGTTTATGTGTCCCACTCTTTGAGCATCAAAACTTTCCATTATTACTCATTTATTCACTTATTCATTCAATTATTCAACAACATTTATTGAGCAGTTAAAATGTTCCAGGCACAATACCAGTAAGTAGGAGGTACAAGAATAAATAAAATAGTATGTCCCTGTCCTCAAGAGGCTATAGTAGAGGAGGCACATTTGGAACTAAATGCTTAGGATTCAATCCTTTTGGCCTACTACAATTGTACTTCTGGAATTCTGTCCTTCCAAAAGGCTCCCACAAGACTTAAAGACGGGTGCACAGCTGTTCACTATAGCAAAACATTAGAGCCCATCTAAATGTCTACCAAGAGTTAAATAACTAATCGTACATCCAAATGGAGTAAAGGATGAGGGATATATACACTAAGATAAACGAATGCCCATAATTTATTGTTAAGTGAGAAAAGCAAGTTTCAGTCCAAGAACTGTAAATGATCCCATTTTTATAAAAAGAATGTGACACATACACAAAGGAAAAATTATGGAAATATATATGCCCAAATTTATAAGCAAAAACTACCTCTAGAGAGGGGGCCAGTTTTCAACAAGCATGCAATATTTCTATTTTTTTAAGCCTCCACTGCTATGGAAATTCTGAACCAAGTCCTACTATAGAAACAGAAAATTAGAAAAATTAACTGTAAGTAGGGAAGACAAGGTTGGCATCCCACATGCCCCCACTTTTAAGCCACTAATTTGAATTAATATAGTTGAAATATATCCACATAAGTGTTAGAGTATTAATGGTCCTGCTCAGCCTCACTTGTTTTAATTTAGCTGTCAAGCAAGTCTGCAGCAGCCCAAATGAGGAAAATGTTCACCTTTCCCAGGGCAAGCTATGTCATGCCACGAGGATCTACCTCCTTCCTCTCAATCTAGACCAAGGGGCTTTTCATTTTGTTATACATATAATATATGCATTGTTATGCAATGTTATGCATATGTGCAGAGAGGAATACCCAAGCCCCGAACAACCAGATTCACCAGAATAGGAAAAGCAAACCTTTACTAAGTGTCCACTCTGTGCCAGGTCCTGAACTCTGCATTAGAAATGTTGAAATAAACAAGGCATAGTTTCTGTCCTTGTGATATTGAATAGTCCAGTGGGAGGCAGGGAGGTCAACAAATAGTCACAACACAGCAAAACAAATGTTAACAGACTGATGGTCAAAGTCACAACAAGGTTACAAGCGAAAGAAGCCAGATTCAAAAGGCCGCATAGTATACAATTCCATTTACAGGAAATTTCCAGGATAGGCAAATCCACAGAGACAAGAAAGCAGATTAGTTGTAGCCAGGGGTTGGGGGCAGCGGGAATGGGGAGTGACTGCTAGCAGGTGCATGGTCTCTTCTGGGGTTAATGAAACATGTTGGAACTGGATAGTAGTGATGGTTGTACAAATCTGTGAATATACTAAAAACCACTGAATCGTACACTTTAAAATGGTGAATTTTATGGTATGTGAATTATATTTCCATTTTTGAAGTGTTATAGGAGAACAGAACATTGGTTGTCCTTACACTTATTAATGAATTTATTTCTTAAAACTAATTGCTTATTTAGCTACGCTGTGCTTCCTATTCTCCAAGTTAAGTTTGATATCCCAAAGTTTTGGGTTTATTCATGTAGCCATCCATTCATTCATCATCTTACTATGTAAGAATTACAGGTGAATTCTTATAGAGTGATCTCTCTCTCTCTCTCTCTCTCTATATATATATATACTTATAAGTTCTTATATAGTGAATCACTATGCTAGCCCCTGGGAGTAGAAAGATGACGAGTTACCAGCTTCAGAGAGCTAATACTCAGAACCCTGCTATTAGTTTTGACCCGAGTAGCTATAAAATATGAAATGGACTTTCAGAAGCATTGTAGGAA